TAGTGTTAATAAATCGAAATGGTTGGTCAGTGATGCTTGATTTTTTAAAGCACTCATAGGCTGTGATAAGAAGAAAGAAAACTGATTGTCAAGTTGAGTCACTTCAGAAAACCTACACATACTTATCCGGTTACAAAAAAGGTGCTAGGATGGGATGTCAGTCAGCTACAACGTAGAACTAGGCATCTATGCATTGGTTCAAGTTGCCACACCTCATTAGCACTACAAGATGAACAACGAATTCATAGAAGCAGTTACTTCTATGATAGTAAAAAAGCATTTCATATAAGGATATGATACAAGGAGAAAGAATTAGTTCGTAGAAAGAAAGGTATAAAATAATCTCATGGTTTAAGAGAAGACAAAGAGTGTATACACCTACGCCATTGTGATCTATTCTGAGTCTCCAACCATTAGCTACGATAGTCGCGCGGACCCCAACCAAGTAGTCTACATCTACCAAAATGGTTCAGACTAGATGCTCAAGGACTGATGCCACGTTTTGGTTTGGCCGCTCTCAACTTTCTTCCAACCGTGCCCAACACTAGTCAGCATTGCGCGTTGTGGTAATCGGTGTTCAGGCATACGTAACACGTGGCCCAACCATCTCAGTCGATGAAGATTCACAACCTCATCAACTGATTTACCATCATTCCTTAATACCCTGTGTCTAACCTCACTATTACCTACACGGTGATTCCAACAGATGCGAGCAATATTTCCAAGACATTTGAGATCAAATACTAGGTTGGCAAAAGCCAGACGAGCTTTTCGAAACCGTGCTGAGACTTTATCAGACACCAACCTATTATGGCTTATCAAACTTCCAAGATAAGTGAAGTTGTCAACACGTTTGACTACTTCACTCCCTATCTTCAGTTCAGGTGTTGACGCAGACCAGTCCTGAAGCAACAACTTGCATTTAGAGGGAGAGAAGCGCATTCTAAACATTCTGGTATTGCTGCTTAGTGCTACCAAAAGAATCTGTATTTTATCACCGTCTTCACCAAACAGGACTATGCGCATGTAAGTCAATAATCGGACCTCCTGGTAGTACGATGGGATGAATAGCTTGAGTTCATTTAAAAGTTGACTTGTCACTGATTAGACTTTTTTAACTATTTGAAGATTTATTCGGATTAATCATTTGATACGGTCCTGTGAATTGAAGTTCAAAAACTCTGCATCATAATTCTTTTTAGCCATGACTACGGTTGTATTACGTTTGTCAGTGTTGCCAACTATAAAAGTTCTGTTTCCTTGTGTAGTTTCGTTGTCTAATCAAGACGGTTTATTCACGAGCTTTCATTGCTCCTCTGAACAATATCATCAGCACAAACTTCAAATAAAAGTGAAGTATTCGAAATTTATTCACACATGACTAACAGCTTGTCTTATCCATATTGATCTCGATTGGTTATTGTTTGCCTTCAACCTGTCACTGCCTGCATCTTTATTTTGATTATCTCTCCCATTCGACTTGATTACTGATCCTATGTTTGTCCATGATTTTTCTGATTGGTTAATAAATCGAATCGATTTCGATTTATTTATTGATTGCTAATTGATCGGAGTGTCGAGCTTCTAAAATTCTCTGGTGTTCTTAATGTTCTCTATCCAAAATATCGACATGAACATGTGTCCATAATGGTCCACATGGATTGGTATAAGCAAAGAAACATCATAGTGTTTGACCGCTAGTTGATGTATTACACTTGTTCGAAACCAGAACATAAACCACCAATATCACTTCAACCAATCTTACGCAAACCCAAGGATAAAATAACAAAGAAGAAAAACTTAACATCAAATACAAAATAAACTATTCCGATTTTGAAAAATACTACATCGGACAAGGTGGGAGCCCCCTTCATTTACGCCTGCATGAACAACAATTATCGGCCAAACACCATGTTTCTTTGCTTATACCAATCCATGTGGACCATTATGGACACATGTTCATGTCGATATTTTGGATAGAGAACATTAAGAACACCAGAGAATTTTAGAAGCTCGACACTCCGATCAATTAGCAATCAATAAATAAATCGAAATCGATTCGATTTATTAACCAATCAGAAAAATCATGGACAAACATAGGATTAAATCGGCAATAGTAGTATATGCTATCTTCAGTAACCATCAAATGGGTATTAAAAATAACAAAATAATCCAAAAGGGCTGCTCCAACTATAAAGAAAAGCGAGTAGCTAGATCTCTCTACATATATTGCTCAATCATACTGCCCTTTATAGAAAAGAAAATCTTACCATCCAACAAACGTGGACCAATTATCAAAGCTACCATATCTGATTCGATTTACGTCTTATATTACCACATATGCAATCAAAATACAGCCATTATATTTCTCACAAAAATCACCTCAAATAAAATCTTCACATGTCATCAGATTTTTATTTTCTTTGGGTCATATACATCTCAGTACACATTCTCTTTTAAATACCAGTTTCCGTAGATATAATAAACTGATATAAATCTGAAGTAAGGACTTCAAATTGAACAACAATCTTAACAAATCAATTGTATATTGATGATTTGAAATAAATTCACGATGTAGAAAGTACGAATGATCAGTTTACTAAATACTGATTAAGCTTTCGTTAAGAAGTAATGTTATGTGAGTGAAATGCAAAGTATATAGTGCTTTAAATGGGAACTGATCATACTCTACACACAAAAAAAACTCGACAGTTATGGTAAAGAATTAGAAAATCATTTCAAACAAACAACAAAATGCACACCTTGTATTTTAGATGATGATGAATCCATTAAGATGAACAGTTCTCAAATAAAATAGTACTGAAATAATCAATGAATTTAAAATGAAGAAAATTAAAGATTATCATCAAGTAAAGATAAATAAAATTACACTACGCCAAACTGTACTTTTTTCCCTATCTAACATTAAGGATTTAATTTGTTTACTAAGAAGTTACCTGTATCAAAATATTTGTACCTGATAACTAATAGTGATTAATGTTAGAAGCATAAATGATTGAACATGGACATTTCGAAGTTTCGTCACAAAACCTAACGATCCTAAGTTTGATCCTTAGCGAGGAATCTTATGCCAGGATTAGAAAGCTACTCAGTAATTCCTAGTTTTTAACGGTTGGCTAGTCTGTGATGTGAAGTATGAAATACACAATTGAATGCTGTTTCGTATCAGGTTTAAGTTCAATCCTGTACGGGATCATAGATGAAGAGTGTTAAAGAGTGCCGAAACCATAAAAATAGTTTTCCAGTGCTTTATGGCTTTTTGTAACAGTTCTCTAGGTGATGGGATTTCGTGATCCAAATCGTCTTGAAATTTTATTAAGATATTTCAATTATCAATCAACTTAAAGAGTACGTTTCTCTAACCACAGGATACCTCAACCATAACTAAAATTCCTGATCACATTGTACCAGATTTTCGAATATTCATATATTTTTGGGAGTTAAAGGTATATATGATAAGGCAAACTGAAAAACTAACACGTAATTACTAAGTCTTGCTGATGGGTAAAAGACACTTTATCCATAAGTTGTAGTGAAAATCCGACTGAGTTGATTAATGAAACACAGTTTCATGATATACTAAAGTACTACAATTATAAAGCGACAAACTATGGATTGTTTTGTGACACATTTCGACCGATTCTATTTTACGTAATTAATCTATCAAATCTATATCCTAACTGATCACGCACACAATAACAGAAAGTGACATATGTTTATGTCACTTAAAATTGGTACAGATAGAAAACTTTAACTGTTAACTTTTATTCCTTAAATATATTTCTACTACCTGTCGGCTTAGTGACTTTAAGATGAATAACAGTTTGAAATTACCTGTAATTGAATAGTATGATCGTCTTATATTTTGTAATAACGATCATGTTATAGAGAGTATATTTGTCTTTCGACAAATATTTCAGTGTTGTTACCTAGGGAGTAGATAACATGTAAATATAGGGACAGTACGTCGACTTACTGTTTAACACTAGTAAAGTTACTCTCATATCATGTAAAAAAGGATTTATACTTCACTCCCGCTGTATGTCAGAATTGGTTACTAGTATTTAACACTAATTATAATTTGAAAAACACCTAGAGTGGATGAAAACCACTATGGGCAAATAATGGTTGAAAATATACGTGATCAAGATTGGGAGATTTCGCACCAACCCCTAATACTTAAACAGATTACTAATTCAAAAAACAATCAAAACTTTTTTATTGGTTAACGACAGATCGTGGCTAAAACCATCTTGATATTGAATCACTTTTTATAATCCACCCCAGTAAGTAGTATTCCTGTTGGATACTAGCTAACAATGAAATTCAGTACACGTGTTTCATCTAATTGGGACTTGCCAGTTGGATATCCCTGCACCCCAGCGTTAACGCTCACATCGAGGACCTTTAACTTGAAATACCAACCTGTTTTCCACTGAGTCCAGACAGCCGCTACATTTCGTCAAAGGTATGCATTTTATTTGTATGAGTTTGCATTTTTCTATTGTTTGGTTTAAGGATTGCAAGTTATTGTGAGTGCAGGAAATTTAAATGTATAGATAAAATGAAATGTGGATGACTTAGACTTGAACCTGGCCTATTATTTATGTCTCGGTAGATGAGATAAACATTTATAGTAAACATGTATAAACGAAATTTTTTTTAACTCTCCATAATCCGTCAAGAAAATATCACCAGTACAAACAAGGGTCGCTAACAACCAAGCCGGATGAAGGTCAAAAGAATAAACTGTCGGAAATATGTAGAGGTATTCGAATAGTTTACTTCTATCTAAAGATTGCGCTGATGTTGTCCAGAAGAACAATGAAATCATGATTAAACCACCCAGATCAGAGCACGAAGCTTCACCAAAATCATTCCCCTGAGCTACAAATCTTTATCACTATCTCAGAATAAACATTAGCCGATAGATCACATCATGCAATAGATATTAATATCAAAAGACACACATCAGTGGTGAGTTTTTCAAAAATATATATTGTAATCCCTTAATTTGAATTAATATATATATATAGAGAGAGATCTTTACAACAAATATCCAAAGTGTATTGATGAAAGAATAATTTATTAATAACAGTTCATCTCAACAGTTGAAACATTGTAGTGGAAAAAATATATTCAGTGACCAAGTGACGTATACATATATCACAGGGCTACTTCACTAAATGCCTACAAAACAAAAAAGAAACACATTTTCACACTGATCGTTTGCCAAAATTAATTTCGAAAGTAAAGAGCCTGAGAACGTACTTATTATTGTAATTGAACCTAATGACTAAACAGTGACGTCTTTAATGAAGTTTCGGTACGAATACAAAAAATCCATTTGTCCAATTGCTAACATAGGCTGCTTGTATCATAGGTGTATATACGATTACTATCCACATTTGTGAAAGTTAGCCTAGAGATAACATAACAAGAATTTGAATGAAAGGATTTTTAAAGCATTGCTCGAGTATGGTGAGATCATTAAGTGGATATGCTGAAAGTAAGCAAACAGGTTGGAACCTGTGGTATATATGTCTAACCAAAAGCATACATTACTGAATAACCCTGACTAGAATAGAAGCAGTTTGTAAGATGATAGAGGCGACCAAATGAAGATATGGGACGGGACATGAAGTGATTAGCTGTTGATATGAGCCAAATTAGATATGGATTGTGATTAGTAGTGGAATCCGAGAGGTGCGTCTCGTCCAATGTCGGAAACGTCAGCTGAATGTGCCTGCATCCCAGAGTTGACGTTCATTCCGGGACTCGAACCCAGTGCCATTCTCAAGCACCATCGCGTTTTCCACTTAACTACTGAGCTCAGATAGCCACTAGCTTGTGCAATGGGGTGAAGTTTAACTCGTTTGTATTGGTTGTTTTAATCTTCCCATTGGTGTTTGGGACTACAACCGATCGGTATCTTCTTGGCGTACATGCATCCTGTGCGGATCGTCTCTACATTGCTTTAAGTTACCAGTAGTCAACTTCTTGTTCAATGTATTTGATGATAAGTACGGGAATCATTTCCCCAAATAAAATATTTTGTAACTTGTGATTTTTTGTCAGTATACATAGTGCCAAGTAAATGGTAAATTACAAGATAATTTTCAATTGGCTAGACAAAGTATTCTCTGTCTATCAGTTATAAATAACTTGAAGCCCCATAAAAATATGCATCGACCCGATTGGCCACACCACATTAACACACTAAAATAAACTGGTCACGATGAATAACAAAGTAGTATGAATAGTTGTAGGATTTTCAACAATAAAAATAAATAATCGAGAATATGATTCGAGGATGAATAATGAGAATAAAAACTACAAAGTAATTTGGTGACATAAGATCTATGAATAGGCAAAAATTGATTATGACATAACTCCAGCCGACTGATTTCAAGTCATGTCTCCTAATATTGGTCACGATAATCAAGTGGACACCAAAGTCCGCATTAACCAATGTAGCTCAGAATAACAATCAATGACTTCATGAACTCGTGTCATATCTTGGTTTGGAAACTCTTAGATTTCTTCTAAACTAATTTATGCCTGTAAGTATCATCTAATCAGTTAAACATACTTAGACTATCTAGACTGTAAGGGTGTTTTAAATCCATTTCCTTGAGTTCGGTAACTGACTAATCAAACAAATGAAACAGTTATTTGATAACCACATTATCTTAATCTAGATAACATTTCCTGAGCAGTTTACATTGTGTAATGAAAGTTACTTTGTGACATATATCAATATTTTACAGCAATGTGTCAAAAGGCATTATACACAGATTTTCAATGGGATGATTTTTATTGGCTTTATGAATAAACAGAACCTTAGAAAAATATACGGAAAGAATAATGTATGAAGTGTTCAATTGATATTTTTTATCTAGATTTAATGACAAAAACAGTATTGAGACAATTGAACTTGTATTTTACTTTCAGAAAGGTTTGTCAGCCCCACAATAACAGTTACCCAGTCCCCCCTGAAAATTAAGAAATCTGTAATAAATTATAGAGTTGACAAGTCTTCATATGAAATCTCAATGAATTTCTAACAACATACCTTTGTGACCTTCGTCGATGTCGCTTTTTAGGAGAATTGATATTTTGTTCAGGAGTCTTTGGACATGAATGTGGGGATTGAGTAATTTTCTTTATTTTGCGAAGTTGAGCTGGAATAACTAAAGAACGTTTCTTTTTCTTTTTCGGCAAAACTACAGATTCACTGAAAGATATAAAATGTTAACTATTTCATTGTACATAATAAAAATACCACAACTTAATGTATCTTATTCATTAAGTATAAATTCACTAGCTTGGTTTAAAGTCATATTGTTTACGTGAAAATTAAGGATACTACTCGATCTTCCAGAGACAGTGGAGTTGAAGCAGGAGGCCTGATGGTATAAAGTTGAACACCTTAAACATCAAGCCACCATTGAGTTTATCGTTTGCAGTTTAAGTCGATTAATAGAGTCACATATGCCGAATATAATGAAAACTGGTCAGTATTTATGGCCCTAAATTTAGAAGAAAAACTAGACTATACAGCATTATTCTTGTTGTACACTAAGTTTGAGAAGTGATACATACGTAGAAATAATAACACTAAGTGTTAAGGGAAGCGAAAATTAAGAAGAACAGGGTTAGAAGAAATAAGTCAGAGGATAAAAACTATGAAACAGTTTTATGTCCACGATTTACAGGATTAAAAATGAGTGTATTTGAACTAGTGCAGCCGAGGTTTCAAAGTACTTACTATTGCAATGCTTCCTTGCACGATTCATAGTAACACTATAGTTTGATGGACTGATTCAATGTCTTTGTATGGCTAGTCTTAACTCTTTCCCAGTCTACTTTTATATTAGACACTATAGTGAAAAACGATAGGGGATTAGGTAGAATACGTAAAAAAGCCCTCTTAGTCACCATAGTCAGTGTAGTAATTGACTCAAATTTTGCAAATTAAAATTCTTCTCTCAGTATAAAGTTGAGAACAGAGAAATATTTTCAGACATATGTTCACTAATAAATCCCACCATGGAATATTGATTGACCATAGAATTCACAAAATTATATGATCGCGATAACATCTGACTGCATATTTTGCAGTAGGAAAAATATTATAGCAAAATTTACATTATTTAAGTATTCAAAAAGCTATCAACACGGAAAACAAATCTGTATACTTTGAGGATGAAGGTGATTGAGCCAGTGGGCTTGACCGCTTTTGAGGTTTATTACAACATATTGGTAAGTTTATACTATCGGGTGGTTGAAGAGATTTATGCAAGTCTTCAAACGATTCACTATTTGAAGATACTTCATTCACATCAGGGGATACAGAAACAAGAGGGTTTGTTCCTGGAAAAATCTGACATCCTACAGAACGTTTAGATTGAGGTGAATGAGATACACCTATTGATCGATTCAACGAATGTTTGGAAGACTGTTCCAGAGATGCAATCTTTTTCAACTGGAATAAAAATGTCATCGTTGTAATGAATATAAACAATAATTAAAACGTTATCAATTCGAGAACACTCTATCTACTTGCAATAGAGATTTCAATACAACATAAAGAGGTAATGAACTATGATCTACTCAAAAATTAAAGTAACTTGAACTTACTGATGCAAACTGGAGCCACAAAAAGAAAGTGGTGGGTCAGTAATTGGAAACATTTAGATTCCAATCAGTAAGTAACAAGCGCAAACCCCATTCCATCTACTTCGATCTGACCAGCCTGGTAGATCACTTAACCTCACAAAAAGTGATTCATAGCCAACTACAGAAACCTGTACATGATAAATTAGTTGCAGTAAGAAGTAATCAGCCTTATTAGCAAGTCGTTGCACAATGATTTTCGGAGATTAATCACCAAAAGTCAGCATCTCATTACCAACATAAGGTTTTTGTTAAGTACTGTGAAATACAGCACAGGTTTTTTAATTCGAATTAATGTAAACAATCTACACTATATATATATATATATATATATATATATATATATATATATATATATATATATATATATATATATATATTCAACAATGCAAGATAAATTTATCAGTGCCCCACTATTTGTCATCCTCATTACGGAAAATGTTAAAGTATCTATTGCGTAAGACTACAAGATTTACTTACTTTTATGGGATCACATTTTAAACTATAAAATGTCGATTGTTAGGACTGATTTTTAATGTATATTGTTAAGTTTTCCTTATTTTATAAAAGTATTGTCTACATATATTAGACAATCTCCAAGATTCCTCATAAAAATCCGTAATTTAGCAAATAGAGTAAAACTCAGAGTGGTTAAGCACAAACACATACATACAATTTAAAAATGAGATTTAGTTTCTCGAACATTCGGATTCCAGCCAAATGAATTATTCATTTACTTTCATTCACTAATGATAAGAAGTACTAGTTCTTCATACAAAAAATGCTGCTCATAACGTATTGATAATAAAGTTTTAAGTAACCAATGAGTTGCATCATGTACATTAAAAATGAGTTTTAACGCTATAAACATGATATGTGAAAAAAGATATAGAGATGAAACAGTATTACTACAGCAAACTAACTTACTGCAGAACTTAGCTGGTGCCTCTGTTGTACTACATAACGTGTAAGATAATTTATTCGTGCTGACAATGACTTGATTTCAATTTTCATAGACTTAATATAATTTATAACATCTAAGTTAAGAAAAATTCCAGAGAAAATTCATGTATCTTCATTTAATTATAAGTAATAAGAATTTCAAGTGATAGTTATGTTATAATTTATGAAAACATCAGATTTTAAATAGCAATACACATTAGTTTACTTTTTACCTATGAAATTATCTGTAGTAATTTAACGACAAATAGGTGAAAACAAGCTAAACGCAACCCAATATCTGTGGAGCGAGTGGTTTAGCAGTTGAAATACTCAATGTCCGACCATAAGGTAGCTAAAAAGTATTGAACTAAAAAGAATCACAAGAAAAGATGTGTAATCAGTGGAAGGTTGTTAGGTTTAAAGCTTCACGAGTTCACTTAATCTGCGAACGAGAACAAGACTCAGTGACCAAAGACCAGTAATCTAACTATTGACGCGTCCCAGCCCCGCTATCTAGAAGGAGAAGTCCAAGCTTGGTATTAGAAATATATTCTGCAAACAGCCAGAAAGCGAGCGAGCAAGCAAGCAAGCACTCAAACACAATTTAAAACGTATATATATATAAATATATATAATCGATATTGTCATAGTAAAATGTTTTTTAAACATGACTCATTAAGTTCATCAATCGACAGGCATTCAAATATTTAATCGATAAGTTCATCATTTGACTTCCATTCAAATATTTAAACATTTAATCGATAAGTTAATCGATATGATAAAATTACAAATATGAATTTTGGGGATATACGGTCCCAACAAAGGTAATCGAAAAATACAAACAATGTGATCCGATGGACGTAATACAAGACAAAAGTGGGGTTCCTTTGATAGTAGGGACTAGATTGCTAAAGTTTATGTCATCTTTGGAAAAGGACCGACATTTTAACAATCCGAACCAAACGAAAAAAACACTAGGGAGAAAGTTATTGATACAACACTAACTATGAGGTCCAACTACACTATATTGCTATTTCTTTTCCTAGTGTTCAAAGTTAGTGGAAATAATCAGACATGAGTAGTCTTAAAGCTGGCGTAATATGATTGATTTTGTAAGTGATTAATTCACCAAAAAACAAGTCAGACTACTAACTTACTTTCACTGATGAAATGGAAAGTGATAAGAACAGGAATGCAGGCGACCAAAATGCAAAAACATGTGTACAATATGGATTACAGTATATTAGTTTGAATAACAAAAGCTAACAAACTTAGAATCTATCCACCAATGAAGTATCCTTTGTTGCTTCGATTGGATTTATTGAAATTTCTGTCGATCTCTCTCAATTCTTGTTCTAACTTACGTGTCCGAGAAATACTAAATGGCGAAAAACATAACAAGGAGTTACTTTACGGTCAGTGAGATAACTGAACACTATACGACAGATAAATATTCCAGACCACAAAAATCCATTCTGCCTCTAGGAGTTCCGAACATTAAGAACTCTTCATGAAAATTCTGCGTGACCAACCTTAAGTGATTGTTCTTTAGACTCCCCTGTCATCCTTACAGGCTTTCAAGACCGAAAATAGCTCCATTTTCCCTTCAGGTGGCTCATAAAAACGTGTTGTTTAATCGTATTAGCAATAAGCGAATGATAATCTATCATATAACTCTAGTAGCACTTGAGATAACCGCGTTTTCTGAATGGACCAGTGACCAAAAATTTAAAAATACATTTTCCCTGAATACTTAACCACCAGCAGTACATGAGTGAAAGGGAATTTATTAAATACTCAATAAAATCCAAACATAAAAACTTTTCACTCATATGATGCAAAAAATCTAAAAAAAGTTCTCAATACGCTTACCTGATTTTGTGGGACCGGACATTTCTCTACTAAAATAATAATGAACAAAATTATTCAGACTTTCCAAAATAAGTTCTACTGAACATAAGCAATGCTGTTAAATATTAAATATATATAAGACTAATGATTGGATGCCGATTTTGCCATCTTAACGTCATGGCGGTACTCAGTCTCAGATGGTTGTGAATTTTTCTTATGATTGTGTTAGGTGACAACTACTCAAAAAATCTTAATTATTATAACTAGCACTTAACCAATCATCTTAAATGTATTTTTAGTCCTACTAGGGTCATCGCCAAAAAAGCCTTAATTACGAAGACAAACTTCTCTACAGTTCGCCAAGAAAAAAAAGACAGGAGTGGTTTGTTTGCCATAGTTGCAAATATATTAGCCTAATGCACTAACGTGTTAGATACTCTCAATCACGAAAAAATAATAACGAAAATATACTGCACAAAATTAGGATAATAAGGAATCAAGTTTCATTATTTAAGAGGTATTTCTAGAACATGTTTGATTAGCATATCAACATCACTCTATTGACAGTGAGGAATCCTTAGTAATATACGTGGTATGAAATCTATACCTTGAATTATTACAACACTATGTTTGGAACAATGGATACAAAAGCACAGATCTATGGTGAAGTGCGTGTTTATGAGTTTTAAAAAATCATTCATAAACGCTTTAGTTAAGGTTTTACTTATGCTAGATTTGTATTTCTTTGTAAAATGTAAATTCTGGTACCATATAGCACTAAACAAAATGAGCCAAACAAATGAAGTGGTGGTAATGTGGAATTAAAAAAGAAGGGTTACAAAAATAAGCTTTTGATAGAATGCACAGTTTAAGAACTGTCCTTTAAACCACGGTGTAATGTTACAAACTGGTCACCTCTCCATTTCTTAACCCAGTGTTAACGTTGGCAAATAAGTACAATATGTAAGTCGCTAGGAGAATATTGGTAACACAACTCTAAGCCACAAAAGTCAACGTTTTACGATTGTAACAATAATTGAAATATCGTTACTGAGACTACACATACTCTGCCAAATATCCTCATTAATGATATAATGTTGTTACTGGATGTGAGGAATTCGAAAGAAGCAGTGATCACAACCAGGGAGTCTAAATACCTTCAGCTTGGAAGAGCTTGTAAACCCGATCTTTTATTGCCAGAATAGCATCACAACGGCGCCGAAAATGGCCCTGATTGACATGAGCTCCCCCAATTTTCACTACGTAGATTGATCTATTGTGACACACCACTACCAGCACATACAACTACCCAGACACATCATCTGTTTGACTATTTTAACGATTCTATTTATTTATTTATTTATTTGAACACATAAATATTGGTACAAGAGAGCGCCAATATATATGCGCCACCAAAAAGTAAAACTGAAGGTTTCTGTTAGTATTTTAGAGGTATTTGGCGTTTCGACCGGCCAAGCATATACTGCACTTACGGACGATAACAGAGTAAAAGACAAGGGGCGAGAATATTATGGTTTTGGAAACATCTCTTAAACCAGTTTTCAGCAACAAGTCATGGGGTATTTTTAGATTAATTTCTACCAACTAACGAAGTTACATAGCTAACAAAATTGCTTCAGGATTGGCATGAAGGTAGATAAAGTATTACATTCAGTCCTGTTTTTAGGGCAGTTATTAAGATATAAGGAATGGCGACAGACTGGTGTATATATGTAAATGGTCCAACGTTGTGGATGACTGAGTTGTTAAGATACTAGAAATGAATGTTTTCAACTAAATACAACTACGCAACCCATTGCAATGGAATTTTGGTTTAATCGTCGTCGGCTTAACCCCACACATCACATCGAGTATGCGGTAACTCTAGACGATGAATTAGTTGGTATTAACTTCAGCAAAAAAATAAATGCCCTATGTAGAGCTTATATGAAAACTCTCAAACGTTGACAATACTTAGCTTACTCGAGGATGGATTATGAAATTTCAAAATAATCGTCAGCAGCGATAGTTAACCAGATGTTTCTCGAGTGAACACTTGATGTTTTCACCCAATTTAAACATTGTTGCAAACGATTTTATCTAATAAAAACATGCTTATCGGCAGACAAAGAAATACACAAGTTCAAATAGCATCGAGAAACATAAGTGAAATATACGCCGAATCCACCCAAGGAAAGTTTGGTAGTATTCAATATCAATTTGGGATCCAATGAAAATGTTTAAGATGTCCAGGGTTTGAGGTTCCCATTAATTGTTTGTTGTGTTAGATAACGAGGTTGTTATAAAACCACATTTATGACATTCAATTGTCCACCATTGAACTGCATACTTGTGTCTCCTAAAGAACACCACATTCCGAGTACAGAACAATCGGACAAGGGATTTAATATGAGCATCAAGAGAATACCGACGAGGACGAGGTGATAAAAATAAGACGTAGGGGTAAACAAAGGGTTCACTAGAAGTAAAAAGTACAGAATGAGATGAGGCTGAATGTGAAGAAATAAAGGTATACAATATCACTTAATCGTACAATTCCCCACCTATCGCTTTTATTTTCAGCCTAAACATTCTGCTGACATATGTTTTCTAATGCTGCTTACCTCTTTACGTAAGCTAGGAAAATGTACTAGCCAGTATAGTTGCAACAACTGCAAAAAGTTTTGATATTTTGCTTAGGACCTTGTACAGTAAAAAAAATATATTCTTATATAACTCTCGGCAAATAGGAAGAGATATTTATGAAATTTGCCACAAGTTCCATATTCTTGTGATAATGCCAGTTAAAATGAGAAAACTGAGACGCGAAAAGATTCGCTCCTGTAAAGTCTAATCAGATTCCAAGTAAGTTCTGGGCGAAAATGTACATAATAATTATCTTAATACGAATACATAGGAAAAGATGTCAGAATAATATAAGGTATGGGGCTTGACGGAGATAACCATTACTATACCATGTACTTTGGTCATACAACTGTAACGCTGTGTCCAGCAATGAGGTACCTTGAGTACAACATAGGGACACAAAGTAGCTTAAGTGAAAAATACAAAAGGAAATGTAAGTCGACGACCCATCGAGCGCAAACAGCGTGCTTACACTTACTACGGAAAGCTAGAGATAACAACCAGCAATGACACAGGCCTCAGATTAAGACAATTAACTAATCGAACCTAGAAACCCGCCAACACCAAAACAAGCGCAGCAACCTTACTGAGCCAATTTCCAATACCAGCCATCCAAAATCCAATATCTGAATCCAGGGTTGTATAAACTACTTGATTTCTTTGCTCACGCCTCTTATTATTTCCGTATGGTTCCATTTATTAGGCAATGTAAAATGGGTAGTAGTCTAACCATTCGAATACACTAATCTTAGCTTGATGATTACTTGTGGATTTGTATATTCTGTAATTCGAGTAAGAGGGTTTGTCCCAGAGCAGTATGATTTCTGGATATCAGCGACTATTATATTACTAAGTGAAAAGTTTGTTGACTGGAATACAAAAGTATAATAATGCGGCAATTCAAGTGGCAAGCGAAGACGATTGTCTCAAGATTGTCTGCCTTGATGTAGGTGAGGTAATGGGTGTCCTCGTCACTCCGAAACATCTCATTCATGGCCACGTTACGTATGACTGTGCCACAGTCGCTGCTCCCGCATTTCTGCGCGGACAGTGATATTTCCAAATACAAAATAATGACTGGTCAGAAAATAATCTAAGTTTGAGGGTTTTAGTTCCTTACCCCGAAAGATGCCACAAGTATCCGGAATTCGACAACACATTAATCAGTAACACGCTTTATAGTCAAAACGCACTAACCCAGTGGAATTTGAAGTCAGAAGCGACGAGGCTCAAAGATATATCTAACAGAATACTGATATATACGAGAAGTGAATAATCTAAGCTGGTTAGCGGTTGTAGAATTGAAGCACGGGGTAATCACTCGTAACCTGGTGCGGATACACGGCCAAGCTCCTTCATCTGAGTTAGACAAAACTAATGCGTTTGGCATCCGACGTCGAAGACTTACAGAGCTATCGATTTCGGGGATTTATTTGCCGCTACAGATCACTTACCCCCTAGTGGGACAGTGATGACCCTAAGACATGGTCAGACAGGAGTTTAGACCCAACGAGTTTGTCGATGGCAAACATTCTTCTGATGGCTTGCTATGTTCAGCAGCGTTTGATCATCTTTCCTTACTATAAGGGGCCATGTGATACAATATAGTAATGAAAAACAGGTATAATGAAAATTTCGGTTCCTCGTAAACTTCGTCGGTCTTTTCGTCTTTTCCAGCCGTCTTGAGGAAGTAAAAAGGAGTATATGAGTACATGTCGAATTGAAATAGTATGTGCGTAAATATATCAAACGAACGGAGAAAGGGAAATAAACTTATATATATGTTTCGTAAATATGTAGAATTATGATCTACTTCGTTATTAGTGCTGCTGTGATAAGGGATCTAAACCTAAGATTTTGGAATTGTCATGATGTAACTGCCCAATATATAAGATCTTACGTGAAGTTCACATTATTGTCTACACTACCTGCAAGGCCGAGACATGCCATTCGATGAAACTGAATTAACTGAATTCTTTCTTCACGCCTTCTTCACTGTTGGAATTCTATTTTCGTTAAATCTTCAATCTCTATTTTCCCAGTTGTTTCGTGTTTAGCTTTCAGGATTGTGTTGCTAAGGCCCAGTACCACTACATATATGCAAGAGCGTGAAAACGATTTTAGAAGAATGGTTTGTTGTCTTTTTGAAAAAGTAAAGACATACACTTATAGGCAAGAATATTAGCGAAATATTTTGTTTTTATTTGTGTGGAATATATTGAAAAAATCGAGACGAAACAAAGTGCTATGCAGTGTATTGCGTGCAGTAATCGTCCAGGTGTCCTGGAAACATCACGTTTCATCCAGAACGCGTTGTTTTTACTCGGTTATCGGATACCAAAGAATTGTCATTGTGATTGAGGGTGAGGTTGTAGTGGCATTGGACCATAACCACACAATCCTCAAAGCTGAACACGAGACAACTCGGAAAATAGATACTCAATATTTAACGCGGAGAGATACCTAACGATGGAGAAGGCGGGAAGAATGTATTGAATTAATTGGAGTTGGTCGAATGGCATGACTCGACCATGCAGGCGTGGTCCCTCTGAACGTTACCTTATATCTTTTATCCGTCATAAATATATTGTTCTATTTCTAGCCTATGCTTGTTCTACATCATGTATTGGTAATTGATACGATACAATGAGTTGGTGTAGTCGATGATGTGACTTCCACGTAAGATCTTATAGATTGAGCAGTTATATCACGACAAATCTACAATTTTAGGATTAGGTCTATTATTAGAGCAGCACTTATATCATAGTAGACCATAATTCTAAAAGGTATCATAATTGCGAGACTCCCGTTTTTCTATTGTACCGAAGGAAAATCGACGTGTATAGGGTTTCCTTTTAAATAGGCTGCTTTGGTGCAGTCAATGCCGATGCAGTCGTTAGTTTCGTTCTTATCGATTATATGATACCTAGGTTCACTCTGAAGAACTTTGAAGGGTCCTTTATATGCCGTTTCGCGAGGTCTTTGAAGTGCGTCGCGACGAACAAAGACGTGTGTACTATACCGTAGATTAGGTCGAACGAAAAGATCAGTTGACTGCGGTCGAGTGGAAACAGGTTTATCTGAACGCAACGCGCTTGGAAGTCTGATCATGCAAGAGTATAGATCCATAACCATTGAAGACGAAGGATCCACGCATTCCCCTGGAATTCGAAGTGTCTTCATAAACGAGTTGAACTGCAGTGTATTCAGTGTCAACTTTCACTGTATTGCGAATACCGAGTAAAACGAGTGGAAGAGCGTCGGTTTACTACGAAACGTTCAAAGCTGAGAGTGAGGATTTAGGCTGTCCATGAAAGCGTTCTACCAATCCGTTTGCCTGTAAGTAGTTTCTAGTAGTGTAGTCAAACAACGGATAAGCTAAGACTCAAACTGGCGTCCACAGTCTGTAGCTTTAGTTGAAGGGCAGCCGAAGTTTGCTACACATCGTTCGAAGAAGGCGTGGGCCACTGTTTCATTAGTAACGTCCTTGATCGTACTGCCGCTAGTCAAAAAGTGAAACGGTCTACAAAAGTCGGGAGATAAGAGTATGCAATTGATTCTAGTAAGGGTCCTACTAAATCCGAATGAACATAGTCGAGACGAACACCGAGAGTTTTGAATGAGCCTATTGAACATTTGTTGTTTTTATCCACCTTAGGTTTCGAACACATTACACAGGAGCGCACCCACTACCCAACGTCTTTATTCATAACAGACCAACAAAATCGTTCTGCTATGATCTTGGTGGTTGCACGAATACCTGGGTGAGAAAGCTTGTGCAGCCTATTGAAGACGGTGCGTTGATAATGTTTCGGCACTTCTGGAAGATCCCTACCTGTGAATATGTCTAGCAGTAAAGTTTCCGCACATGTTCCCACATGTTTAATACGCAGTTTTACGGTTGTTCAAGATAACCCGTGCCAAAGATCAGTGTTTTCTTTTTGAAGGTGGGTGAGTTCAAGGAGGTCGATTCCTTGAAAACTATTAAAGGGAGTTATACGAGATAAGGCGCCTGTAACTACATTGTTTACCACTGAAATGTCTTTTATATCTGAAGTAAACTGTGAGATGTAATCCAGTTGTCGAGACTCTCGAGAGAAGTGCCTGTCTGAAGATGCACTTAACGAGAATGTAAGAGGTTTGTGGTCGGTGAAGAGAATGAATTCTCGGCTTTTCATTGCAATGAAACTGCCGTACAGCACTATACATCACTAGGAGTTCCCCACTGGAAGTGCTATACCTCGATTCGGTGTCTAGCTACCGTCTCGAGGAGAATGCCAAAGGTTGTTAGGTGTGGTTAAACCGTTGTTGTAAAACTTCTCCAGTTACCAAGCTGAATGAGTCTACTGAGATACTAATGGGTGCTTCAGTATTCTAATGTGCGAGAAACGTTGCTTTAGCGATAAGTTCCTTAACTGTGGAGAAGGCTCTTTCGCGATGTCGTCCAAGTTGACGATTTTTGCATTTCCACGAACTAGGCCTGTTAATGGCTTTATAAGGGACGCGCAGTTTGGTATGAACCGTCCATAGGAACTTACCAGGACGTTAAACGTGCGTAGTTGCTTGACTGTGGTCGGTTCTGGGTAATGAGGAATGACCACCATTTCGTTTTCTGGAAGTCGGATGCCCCGACATCTACAGTGTGTCAGAGAAAATCTAGGGATTCGATATGGTAATATGTTTTAGCCAAGTCGATTTTCGAAAAAGCAGTTGTACCTTTCATAGTAGCTGTTAAATCGTCAATGTGATGCAATGGGTATCGATCAGGAATGGTTTTCGCATTCAATCGTTGATGGTCACCACTTGGATGCCAGTCGTTGCTCTGATTTCGGGGCACCATATGCAAGGGAGATGCCCGTGGGCTGTTTAATGGCCGAATGATTCCTACGTCTACCATGTGACTGATCTCGTACTTAGCCAATCTCAGCTTTACGAGAGCTAGTCGTCGCGCTTTCGAGAATACAGGTGGTCCTGAAATCGTGATGTGTTATATAGCATTGCTTGGCAATTTCAGTCGCGTTTGGTATATCTCGGGGTATTTATCGAGTTTGGATGGTGGTTGAAGGTAGTCGACAGGAAACTCTAGACACGGGTTTCGTGGTACTTGGCACTTGTCAGCAAGGTGTACCTGTAATCTTGAGGAAACTGGTGCTGCGGATCCGATCCCGTGAAACGCAGCTTCACAGTCAGAGACGTTATCACTGAGCTATCCGGACCGCAGTATTGAGTCACCTAAACTAGTGGCTACATTGCAACTTGGTCGATAGCATTCGATCTGCACTAATAAGGACTTGACACATTATATTGATCACTACCCAGTGATCAAGCAATTGTGAGTAGTTATCGAGTATTTGTTGGAAGTATAAACCGATTATATGATTGACAGTGACTGGGCACAACCTACAATCACAAAATAAGGTTGCGCAAACAGATTCATTAGTATTTCCATTTACTAACCTCCGTTTACACGTGTCGTTGAGTAGATCATGGTGTTGAAGTGGGTCTTTACCAACGATTGGCATAAAAACATCTACAATAACGTAAAACCAGTGAATAGGCTTGAGTAAATTCACGTT